CTGGTATTAATGGCGAGACAGGAGGGAGCCTATTCGGAGTTGGCGAGAGTTCAAAGATTGTTTATTAGAACGATTCCGAGCCGATGGGGGAGGAGACTTCTATGAGCAGTTCTTCGCTCTAACTCAGGAGGGGACTGTGGCTGACTATCGCGACAGATTCGAGTACTTGGCTAGCCGATTGGATCATATATCAGAATCGGCACTGGAGGGAAACTTCATGAAGGGGCTCAAACCAGAGATACGAACATCGGTTAGAGTATTGGAGCCAAGGAATCTCGGGAAGGCTATGGAGCTGGCACAATTGGTGGAAGATCAAAAGAGATCTGAAAGAGGAGCCCGAGGAAACTATTCAGGAGGGTCACATAGGATGACTACCACATTCTTGCCTTCAAAGGCGGCAGCACCGGTGAGTCAGAAAGAATGGCCAAAGGAGAGAACTGGAGGAGGGGGAAATGGGGGACAGTTCAAGAGGCTGACGGAGAAGGAGCTGCAGGAAAAGAGAGCAAAGGGGGTGTGTTTCCGTTGTGATGAGAAGTACATGCCGGGGCATAGATGCAAGGACCGAACTCTTCAAGTTCTCCTAGTCTGTGAAGACGAGGAAGACGAGGAGGGAGGCGGGAGCCGAAATGAAGAGGAGGAGGATAAGCTTTATTTAGATGTAGCAGAAGTCTCTCTAAATTCAGTAGTGGGATTCACTTCGAGTCACACTATGAAGGTGAAAGGGGAGATCTCTAACAAGGGGGTTGTGGTGTTGATAGACAGTGGGGCAACTCACAATTTCATCTCCAACCAGATTGTCAAGGCACTGGGGATGGAGCTGATGGACACGGGAGGGTACAGAGTAATGATGGGCACCAGGAAGGTGGAGTTGGGACGAGGAGTTTGTCGAGGAGTAGTTTTGAAGATTCAGGGGATTCGTGTACAGGAAGACTTCCTTTCCATGGAATTGGGCAGTACGGATGTCATCCTTGGGATGAAATGACTGCAGACTTTGGGGGAAACCAAAGTAAATTGGGGAGCTCTGAGGATGGAACTAATGGTGGAGGGACAAAGGAAAACGATCCAAGGCGACTCGGGGCTATCCAGGGCAGGAGTATCCCTCAAATCCATGATCAGATCCATACAGGAGGTGGGAGGGGGATACTTAGTGGAGCTGCAACGCTTGGAGAGGGTTAGCGTGGGAGAAGAAGGAGACATTCCGCCCGTGGTGCAACCCCTCATACAGCAATACAGGGAGGTGTTCCAGCTACCCCAGGGCTTACCCCCACCTAGAGAGCAGGAGCATGCCATTCTTCTGAAAGAGGGAGTATCACCAATCAGTGTTCGACCATACCGTTACCCCCAGATTCAGAAGGATGAAATTGAGAAGCTGATTAAGGAGATGCTGGAGGCAGGGATCGTCAGACCCAGTGTGAGTCCTTTCTCCAGTCCAGTCCTACTGGTCAAAAAGAAGGATGGGAGCTGGAGGTTTTGCGTGGACTACCGAGCACTGAACAGGGAGACAGTACCGGACAAATTTCTCATTCCTGTGATCGATGAGCTACTAGATGAGTTGCATGGGGCAGTGGTGTTTTCAAAGATGGATTTGAAATCGGGCTACCATCAAATTAGAATGAAGGAAGAGGACATCCAGAAAACGGCGTTTAGAACACACGAGGGGCACTATGAGTTCTTAGTGATGCCTTTTGGGCTCACTAACGCCCCCGCTACCTTTCAGTCCTTAATGAACCGGGTGTTCAGGCAACACTTGAGGAAGTTTGTGTTAGTTTTTTTTATGACATTTTGGTGTACAGCCGGACCGAGGAGGAACATTTAGTGCATCTAACAGAGGTTTTGGGGATCCTACAAACACATCAGCTGAGGGCTAACTTGAAGAAATGCAGTTTCGCCCAATCAAGGGTGGAATATTTGGGACATATAGTGTCTCGAGAGGGAGTGGCAGCTGACCAGTCCAAAATTGAAGCAATGCAGAGATGGCCCATGCCTAAGAACATCAGGGGGGTGAGAGGGTTCTTGGGATTGACGGGATACTATAGGAGGTTTGTAAACGGGTACAGTTCCATCGCGTGGCCATTAATAGAGCAACTGAAGAAAGACAACTTCTCCTGGGGTGATGCAGCGACCAAGCCCTTTGAAAGATTAAAGAAAGCCATGACCACTGTACCAGTTCTAGCACTCCCAGATTTTAGCCAAGTATTCGTGGTGGAGACCGATGCATCAGGATATGGTTTAGGGGCAGTATTGATGCAGAAGCACCGCCCGATAGCATACTTCAGTCAAGTGCTATCAGCTAGAGCAAGACTGAAGTCAGTATATGAAAGAGAACTGATGGCCATTGTTTTGGCAATACAAAAGTGGCGGCCGTATCTCCTGGGCAGACACTTCATCGTACGGACAGATCAGAGGAGCTTGAAGTATCTCTTAGAGCAAAGGATGGTAACCGAAGAGCATCAGAGGTGGCTATCCAAACTATTAGGCTATGATTTTGAGATCCAATATAAACCTGGGGTGGAGAATAAGGCAGCCGATGCACTATCCAGATGTATGGGGGAGTGTCAGGAGTTAGTAGTGTCGGCACCATTGATGGTAGACTGGGGGGCCATCAAAGAAGAAAGTTTGATGAACGAGGAGCTGAAGAAGATCAGAGCAGATCTGGAGAAAAACAAGAGTAGTCATCCGGGTTACTATTCTGAAGGGGGGAGACTTTTGTATCAGGGAAGGTTTGTGATGCCACGAACCTCCATACACATTCCCCACCTGTTGCAAGAATTTCATGGCAGCGCAGTTGGAGGACACTCAGGAGTTCAAGAAGACATACAGGAGGCTGGCTGCGGAACTTTACTGGAAGGGGATGCATAAGGATGTGGAGGAGATGGTGGCAGGGTGTGAGGTATGCCAACAAAACAAATACATGGCTATGGCTCCCGGAGGGTTGCTCCAACCATTGACACTTCCAAACAGAGTTTGGGAGGAAGTGTCCATGGATTTCATCGACGGCTTACCTAGATCAGAAGGATTCACGGTCATCCTGGTGGTGGTGGATAGACTCAGCAAATATGCGCACTTCATCCTCTTACGACATCCTTACACAGCGGTGTCAGTGGCTGCTGCATTTATCAGGGAGGTGGTAAAACTGCATGGGATTCCTGAATCTATTGTGTCAGATCGAGATAAAGTGTTCCTCAGCCAGTTTTGGAGAGAGCTATTCAGGATGCAAGGCACTGTCCTAAAGAGAAGCACCGCCTATCATCCACAGACCGATGGGCAAACAGAGGTGGTGAACCGAAGTTTGGAGACCTATTTGAGGTGTTTTGTTTCAGAAACACCGCGCATGTGGGCAAAGTGGCTGCCTTGGGCTGAATATTGGTACAATACGTCGTACCATTCTGCCTCCCAGATGACCCCATTTAGAGTGTTGTATGGAAGGGATCCCCCACACTTAGTACACTATGGGAAAGGAAGTACACCGGTCTCTTCAGTTGAGCAGTATTTGGAGGAAAGGGACAAGGTGCTGGAAGAATTAAAGAAGCATTTAGTGAGGGCTCAACAGATCATGAAGAAGCAGGCGGATTCACATAGGAGAGACATGCAATTTGAAGTAGGGGAGAAGGTTTTCCTAAAACTACGACCCTACAGGCAGAGAACAGTAGCGAGAAGAAGAAATGAGAAATTGGCGCCAAGGTACTTTGGCCCCTACGAAGTGTTGGATAAAGTCGGAGCAGTGGCCTATCGGTTGAAGTTGCCCCAATCAGCATCCATACATCCAGTTTTTCATGTATCTCAGTTGAGAAGAGCGATTGGAGAACATGCAGTTAGTACAGAACTACCAGCGACACTGACTGAGGAATTGGAAGTGATGTTAGAACCTCTTGAGCTAGCAGGAGTGAGATCAAATAAAGAGGGCAGCAAAGAAGTACTAATCAAGTGGAGAGGTCTTCCCGATTTCGATGCTACATGGGAACCAATGGAGAGAATGAACGAGCAATTCCCTTCCTTCCACCTTGAGGACAAGGTGAGTTTTTGGGAGGGGAGTATTGATAGACCGACTAGACCGGTCCGGTCCAGACCGGTCCAGCTCTACTCCAGGCGGGCGAAACCAGCAACCGCGACGGGCGGAAGTCGCGCCAGCGGCCCGAGCGAGCGTGGGAAGGAAGTTTAGGAGGGAAATTTTGAATCTTAGGGCTGTTTTAGTAATTCCAATTAGTCCTTTTTCTTTATTTAGGGGTTTGGGGAGAAAAGGGAGGGGGACTTTTGCATTTTTGAAAAGAGTGGTGTTCTAGGTTTTCTTGCTTGGGCTCTAGGTGTTGCCGGAGATTGTAGGAGAGTTGTCTTCCTCTCGAATCGAAGAACATTGTATCTTGCTTTGGTTGTGATCGTCTATAAGTGGAATACAATCGTTTGCTATTGTTTTCCAACGTTTTTCTCCCAAATTTCGCTGTTTTTGTGCTGTTGGTGTGCCGATTTTGGTTAGGTTTGCTTGCGAACTCAAGTATTACCTTAGGGTTACTTGCGAACTCAAGTATTTCCTATCAAATTGGTATCAGAGCCTCTTTTTTGGGATCGTTGGGGGCTGATTTTTTGAAGATTTCGGCGATTTTTCTTGTTCTGGAAGAAGATCTTCGTGAATCGTGAAAAGAACAATGGCCGGAAAGAAGGTTGACGTATTGGAAGGCGAAGTCGGCCAACTGAAAGCCGATTTGGAGGAAAGGTTCTTCAATTTCCAGAATCAACTCACCTCCAACAATGAAAGGTTGGAGGGAAGGTTCACGGCAATGGAAGAAATGATGAAGAAATTACTGGAGATAAAGACCAATCCGACGACGTCGGAGGCCAGAGAGACTGCAGGCGACCATGGCGTGGGAGGGAATCCGAACCCGCTTAGGGGAAGGAGGAATCCGGAAGTGGAGATCCTTGAGGGGGAAGATGACATGCCACCTCTAGAGCCACTCTCTAGAGAGGAGATGAGCATGGGAAATGATCGAAGAGGTGCTGATTTTGGAGGAAGAAGGGAGGAATTTCAGCGTCGTGGTGAAGAATTCCAGCGTCGAGGCACTGATTTCGAAAGAGGCAGAGGGGACTATGACCACGGTTACGGATACCCTCGCAGAAGGGATGACCGGGACATGTGGGGAGCACCGCCTCTTCGAGGAATGGGAGGTTATGGAGGATACCGAGGTAACGGCGGGGATCCGAAGGTGAGAAAGTTGAAGATGCCCATTTTTGAGGGAGAAGATGGCCATGGTTGGATCTATAAAGTGGAGCGTTACTTCGCTGTCAACGGGTTGACAGATGACGAGAAGCTGACGGCGGCA